GTTCACCTAGCTGCCTTCAATTTTCATCCTGCAGCATGAAGATTATCCTATAGCTTTGGCTTAAGTGCTTTCTGCCAAACTGCAAGTAAATCCCTTCTTATGACTTAAAAATTTATCAAGCGTTAAAATGCAAAGAAAAGGTAACAGCTTGAGGGAATTGAAACCTATGAGCCCAAACTTTCCACAGGTTCTAAATCCTTTCCATGCTTTCTGCCCTCCATATCCTGGAAGCCCCCAACAACTTCCAGTGTCTTGTTTTCGAAGGGACCCTCACTACCTTGTACTTTAAACTTCTTGTTTCCAAAAGAAAGTAATTGCCACAGAAGAACTATTAGTCCCAAGATACTAAGGCATAAAAGTGTAGGATTAAGAAGAAAACCCATCTGTGAGGGCTGGTAGTTCAGAGTGAAGATCCTTTAGCCCGTGATAAGATGCTGAGGCACAAACTTTATACACAGCGTAAGCATAAAGCTGTGCTCAGAGAAAGGTGCCCACCAAATGAATTTTGATTACTGTTTCCACTCCCTGGGAAGAAAAATATATTAAACAAAGTGCAAAGTCATGTAGTTCAAGGTACTGTCTGTTTGTTCATAAAGCAAAATGCTTAATAAGCAGAAATTTCAAGTGAGAGGAGACGTCAGGTCTCCAAAAGTCACTATTATCAAACAAAGTAGCCAGAAAATTAATGCTCTGAAGACGGCTGTGACCGTAATCTGGGCCATCAGCCAGCGTTCTTCATTTCTCTTGGTAGGAGCATGCTTCTGAACTTATTGTACACAGAAAACCTAAGTGTTCTAGTTCTTTGGTGTAAGAGTTCTCTTCCTCTGTAGAGTATTGCTTCAACTTTCTAACCAGTCTTTTTACAAATTTTCTGATTACTTACTCTGAAAGAAACACTTAAAATGAATAGTATATGAATGGTATATGACAGTAGACAGGGTACTTTTGTTATGGATGAAGAGGAATGAGCCATTTAAACCTGTCAACGTGATTATTCCCATCCAAATCAGGGTGTCTTCTTTAAGCACACAAAAATCCTACCTGTGACCTTCCACCATGTCCCCCTGTAAGGCAGCTCTATTCCAAGTGTTTTAGAGTGGGAATCTCTGTGTCCATGTGAATGGTTCTACCACCCTTTCCCTCCGTGGCTGCAGAAATCAAACTATCCCAGAGGGGTGTGTGTAATGAGTATATGTTCTCCCAAGGACACAGTTTCCGCTTCCAAATGATTAAAGAATTTGGTATTGTAGGTCATCCTACATTCTAATTCACTGAAAATGGCTACTCATTTTAAATTACTAGGTCACAAATAATAGGGCAAAAGCTTTCAAAGTAGGGGCTTCCTTTGCATTAATTAAGAGGATGAATACCTGAGGGTTTAATAATAAAATCATACACCTTTTTTGGACAGTTGGTTTTTGTTTATATGCATCATGACTAATAGTAATGGCTGTAATCCATCACATTAGAAAAGTAATCAACAGTTCTAGCTGTACCAAATTAAAATTGATTGAGACCTTACACGACCCTGGCGAAGCTAATAATTACATCACTATTACACAGCTAATACTGAACAATCAAAACACTTTTTGTTTCTTTTGGTTTATGAAAATCTGTTACATAAATGCTAACATAAAAAAGCTAAGCAAAACCGATTAGAACAAAACAATGTTGAGTTTCTTTCTGAATAATCCATAGAGAAAGCTATTTCCACCTGGTGGCCATTGCTAGACCATCTCCTTTGGACCAGGCCAACCTGGGTGTTTTACATATTTGATCCCCTTTCCATTTTATCCTCACTGCATCCATAAAGGCATGCTGATGCCAGCCTCATACCATAGAAGAAATGAGCATCACCACAGGAGTGAAGTGACCAGCCTGGGAGCCCAGAGCCATCCAAGACTCAGATCTAGGTCCATCTCAAATGACTGTCCAGTTCCATTCTGGGAGCCTATATAAGAATTAAAAAAAAAAGAATAGTGTATATAGATGAGCACAGGAAACATCTCTCACAGATATATGTTCAAACACTGCAGTAAAAAGATTCTTAGAAATCAGGTGTTACCTTTCATGGTTTATTTTCTGAAGAAAAAACAACTGGTAGGGTATGTAGGGTCTCAGAGGACAGTCCACCTAGAGTCACAACTCTTGGCTTAGAGAATGCTCCCAAAAGTAGGTCAGGGACAGACAGGAATGAGAGTCATTAATCATAAGTGGCCCTGATGTCATTTGTTCCCACCTTCCAAGAAAAGTGGAGTGGCCTTGCATAGACAAGTGACAAATACCATCATTTAAGCCTATGAAGTTAATGACAAATGGCACTTAGAAAGATTCCTGTTAGGGATGGGGATATGGCTCAGTAGATAAAGTACTTGCGGGCAAGCATGAGGACATGAGTTTGGATCCCAGCACCCACATAAAAACCTGGGTATGTGTGGTGGTTTGAATGAAAATGTCCCCCATAGACTTCAAGTATTTGAACATTTTGTCCCCAGTTGGTGGCACTGTTTTGGGAAGTCTTAGAAGGTGTGGCTAGCATGTCATTGGGGGTGAGCTTAGAAAGTTCTTAAGCCTTGCCAGATCTCCAGTTGCTCTCTTGCTTCCTGTGCCTGGTTGAAGATGTGACAGCTTAGCTTCCACTCCTCCTCCACCCACCTCTGCCACCATGCCTTCCAACCAAGATAAACTGTAATTCCCCTGGAACCATATGTTCAAATCAACTCTTCCTTCTATAAGTTGCTTTGGTCAGTGTTTCTATCACAGCAACAGAACAGCAGCTAATACAGTAATACAGCATGGAAGCAGAGACATCAGAGGGGTTATGGGGGAGAGACAGGTTCCAGGGGCTCACTTAAATGGCAAGCTCCAGGTTCAATGAGAGACCCTATCTCAGAAAAAAGTGATCAAGGAAGACACCCAGATGTCATCCTCTGGCACAAATTGGCAAGTGCGCATGAGCGCGCGCACACACACACACATACACACACACACACACACATTCTTCTTAAACATTGCACAAGCTCCAGCTACTGTTACCTCCTGCCAGGAAGGGCAGAGTGAGGTATTTCAAGATGAGGACAGTCACAGCCATGGTTAGATGGAGCCAACTTCTGTTCTTAGTATGCCAAAAAAAATTTTTTTTTGCTTATTTTTCTCCTTTTTGTTTTTGCTCTTTGTTTTTGTTTTTGTTGTTACTGTTGCATGTTTGTTGCACGTCCTCAAAGGGATTTCTTTCATGTTGGGTGACAAGGAACAGTGGCCCCTGACTCTGGAATGAGCTGCTGTTCCCAGCTGGCCTAAGGGCACATCTCAGTCTACAGAGAGGCTGGAAGCACTCCAGGGCTATTACACAACTCAGGAAACTGAAAATACTGGCAGGGTGAAAGGAAATGTCTTTTCTCACTCTTTCTCCAGAGTGTGAAAGAAGCAAACCTGAACTCAGTCACACAGTTGTTTCCTCTCCTTTCCCATAACCCTGCTTTAATGTCAGAGAAAAAATAACATAAAAGAAGTATGCCATGATTGTCTTGACCCAAGCAGCCTCCCTGGCACCTCCTGAGCTCCAAAGGGGAACAAAACCTCACAACATGGTCAGTTTGAACCTCGCTTAAGTAGGGTTTCAATCACCACGGGGAGAAATTAGCAGGATCAGAGCCAAGTATTATATTTCTTCACTTCTGTCCCTCCTCTACCTGGGTGACCTTTATAGATGCCACAAATCTAAGTTCCCCATGTTCTGGCACATTTTGTACCTAACTCGCATTTGTCAATAAAGTCTGTAGCTGTATTGTTGTTGATAATCCAATCTTCTTGCTACTAAAATTGTATGACTTTTATGGGATAATTGGAAATTAAACACTAATTCTCTAATTCTGTATTTCATGATGCTAAGGAGCTATCAAGTTTCTCTTTAGGAGTTAAAAAAAAGTATGGTAAATGGTAATATTAGGTTTTTCTACAAGTGCATGGCTTTTTGATCTCCATAATAAAATATTGGCAAGTTGAATCACATGATGTCTGAGATTTGCTTCAGGATAATGGAAGTCCCAGGTGAGGAGCATTGAGTTCACAATTGTTAAAGCTGGCGAGCTTCATCATGATAGAATTTGCCTTTATTCTTCCTGAGGTTTTTTTGGTTTGGATTGGTTTGGTTTGTTTTGTTTCGTTTTGTTTTGCAGATGTTAAAGGTTCTCCAAAATGAAAGCTTTTTAAAAATCAACCCAAATTTAAAATGTTTCTCAAAAATATTTTTAAATATCTTCAGTTTTAAATCTGGGCATGGTAATTCATGCCCGTAATCCCAGCTCTCAAGAAACCAAAGCAGGGGATCACTGTGAGTTTGAGGTTAGCCTGGGCTAGAATAAGACCTTGTGTCAACAAACAAAAAAAAGTCAGTTTTAAGGTTGAATTCTAGATAAAATAATACTAAAACTTCACATTAAATATTGCATAAAGAAAAGGAGAAATGTAAATTATGGCCCCTTGCTGGTGAGAACATAAATTACTTTTCTTTATTCACTGTTACTTTTTTATACAATTTGCCAGAAGTAAAATACATTATGCTTGAAGTTTTACAAAATTATTTTTATATGTAAGATATGCCCATAATATAATGTTAGATGAAAGCAGTCACAGAACTGTATACTAAGTAGAACGCAGATTTTGTTTCACAGCGTGTGTGCATAGTGTGTGCGTGTGTAAAATAGACCACACTAATTTGTTAGTGGTGGTGGGTAATCTGTTAATCTCTAGATAATGGAGTTATTAGTTATTTTTATTTATCTTTGCTTGTGTATGTATTTTCTCTAATTAATATGTAAAATACTGTAATCAGAAAAATATAGTACAGAAATTAGCTGGATTCTCCTAGAAAGAATCTATTAAGCTCTTAAACAAAGGTTGATAGAAATTCCTTAACCAGCTAGCATTATGTGGCAATGTTTTTGCCTTCCTGTACTCAATTCCTTAATCATCCTGTCTCGTTTTCTGTCCATCTCTAGGTATATCCATGCCAATCCCAGTCTTTGGGCTGCAGGATGATTCCAAGGTCTTTAAGCAGGGGAGTTGCCTGCTGGCCGATGACAACTTTGTCCTGATAGGCTCTTTTGTATCATTTTTCATCCCCTTAACCATCATGGTGATCACCTACTTCCTCACTATCAAGTCACTCCAGAAAGAAGCCACTTTGTGTGTGAGTGATCTTAGCACAAGAGCCAAATTAACCTCTTTCAGCTTCCTTCCTCAAAGTTCTCTGTCTTCGGAAAAGCTCTTCCAGAGGTCGATCCACAGGGAGCCAGGTTCCCACACAGGCAGGAGGACGATGCAGTCCATCAGCAATGAACAAAAAGCTTGCAAGGTGCTGGGCATCGTGTTCTTCCTGTTTGTTGTGATGTGGTGCCCGTTCTTCATCACCAACATCATGGCGGTCATCTGCAAAGAGTCCTGCAATGAGGATGTCATCGGAGCCCTGCTCAACGTGTTTGTTTGGATCGGTTATCTCTCCTCAGCTGTCAATCCACTGGTCTACACGCTGTTCAATAAGACCTACAGGTCCGCCTTTTCACGGTATATTCAGTGTCAGTATAAGGAAAACAAAAAACCATTGCAGTTAATTTTAGTGAACACTATACCAGCATTGGCCTACAAGTCTAGTCAACTCCAAGTGGGTCAAAAAAAGAACTCGAAAGACGTCAAGACAACAGATAATGACTGTTCTATGGTTACACTAGGAAAACAACATTCAGAAGACACTTGCACAGAAAATATGGACACCATGAATGAAAAGGTTAGCTGTGTGTGATAGGCTGGTTGCTATGACAACTGCCAGAGGGCACTTGGGCACTTTTTCACCTATCTGAGGGGGAAAAAAATAAGGAGACTGGAACAAATTAGACTACTCTCATGAATCAACAATATCTATTTTCCTCACTGTATTCTGTCAGTAAAGAACAGGCTAAATGCCTCAAAATGTGCATTTCAACAATGTTCCGACAGCCTTTTAGCTAGGCGCTTTATAGTACTTTTAACTTTGTCAATGAAGTCTTTGAAATAATTAGCTCTTATTGTACAATTATAATGAGGCATTAAATAAATCTGAATTAACGTCTATTATCAAATAGGAACATTGCTACTATATTGTTGACAGATGGCATGGGATTGAATTGGTTACCTATTACTGTATATAAAAATAGCTATTAATCTGAAGATTTGTTTAATAAATAGCCTCTTAAAGAAAAATTCTCTTTAAAATTCACCATGACACATTTTAAAAAGAAAAATAAAAAACACTAAAGACAGTATTGTGAAATTTGTATTGCTGATATAATTAATTGAAATACTTGACAATATTTTTCATTCCTGCTTTTTCATAGATGGCATTTTGAAATATTCACATGATTGCTGGCATTCGCTGCATTTCAAGTTAATTCTCAGATGTGAACAAGATTTTCAGTGTTATTGAATATCTGCTGCTGCTTTCCCTTCTACTTCTTGGGCTTTCTTCTGAATTTCCAGTGTGATCTTGGTTTAAATTTTTTTCTTCTATGTAAACTATCAAAAGGATAATTTAGCATTTCCAAATACATTTCTAGAAATCGCTTCTCAGAAATAGCATCCTACAGATGCTTGGTAACTCTGTGAAACGACTACATTGCACATGCACTCTTGTGAGAACAATGAACAGTATGCTGAAGAAATCAGCACAGTTGAAGAATAAACTCAGGTTTCTTGCTGTTAACAGTAGATTCTTAGGATACTTCTGTAAAAATTAAGTGACTTTACTATTGACACTTATCAGGTAAAATTGATGTTTTCAGAGGCTGGGGATATAGCTCAGATGGTAGAGCGCTTGCCTAGCATTCACGAAGCTCTGGGTCAGATGCCCAGAGCCACATAAACAGGGCAGCTGGTGCATGCCTGTAATTTTAGCATTTGGGAAGTGGAGGTAGGAATATCAGTTCGAAGTCATTCTCAGCTGTTTATCAAATTGAATCCAGTTTAGACTGCATGAGACCCTATCTCAAAAGAAAAAGTAAATGAAATATAGGCTTTTAAAATTGATACTTTCAGATCAATGAATTTTTTATTACTTATTAAATAAAACAAGTCAGCTTAGTTCCACAATGATCTATTGATTGTATATTTATGAGTGGAGTCACTTCTTAGTTATTAGGGATGCAAAAGATTCTTCCATTTTTAAAAGATGACAAAGTGATTACTGTTAAAAAGAAAATATGAGAAGATTTATTTTGAGTATCAGATCAATTTCTTTCTTGTTTACCTGATTTACAAAAAGGTTCATATCAACTCTGAGAATAATTTCCTCAGTAAGTTTTCCTCGTTGGTAAAGAATGGATGTCAAGCAAACATAGAAATGGGCAACTATCAATTAAATCAAACATCACAACTAGCATATAGAAATGTAGGCCCTCAAACTGGATCCATTTTATGACTATGAGACTTGTAAGCAAAATTTTTGTTCTGTCCCTCTAAAACAACATTTTAGTATTATGGACATTAGTTTCCTCGATCAAGAAGTGAATATTAATAGGTAAGAGTAAAAAAGACCCAATAGTAGTTAATACTCCTTGATACTGTGATACTTGAGGTTAAAGTATTGTTGTTGGAATAGATGTTACATGCATGGTTAAAATGAAATGTTTTCATTAAATACAAAGATGTTTAGCCATACCCTTCAGGAAAAATTACAGATTTTGAACTTAAAAAATCTAGAAAACTTCATTATGTAATTTGGAAATGCATTAACATTATCCTAACTATGTTCTCATAGGCACTTTGAAAGACGGTCACCATTTCAAACCTAGAATTTATAATATGTCACTAGTGCCAAGGCTGAATTTGAAAGGAGTTGGTCTTTAATGATTGAACAATTTGTTTTGACCAATGAAAATGTAAGTGTTAAAAAGTCTCCGTTCTAATGTGTTTTCTTTAATTTAAAACTCTGCACATGTCAATATGTATTAGGGAAAAGATCACAGATTCTATCCCATGTACTTAACATAAATACTGCTTGACAGAGGTCTTTTGGCTCTTTTGACTACATATATATTACCAGTGTATATGTGGCATTTTTTTCTCTCTGTATCTATTCAAGTGTATATAAGATAAAATGTGTACAGACATTTTCCCATGCACTTTAAATTGATATTTATATATTTATACGAAGGAAAAGCAAGTCAAGAAAACACTCAGTGTATACACACGTGCATGTTTGTATCATGTTGATTTACATGTAAATTTATGTTCTAATATTCCTATGATCTTCCATGGCTGCCAAAGGAGGTTACAGTGTAGCAGATGTATACCCCTTAAATAAACTGGAAGTTGCTTTAATTTTATGGAAGGACTTTAACACAATTCTATCAGGGTGTTGCAAACAATAGTCCATATATAGTTTATTGATCTTAAGTTGAATGGTAACTTAAGGCCTTTCTTTAGTCTGGGTACGTCCTGAATACTATGGCTTTTTAAATTCACTCCTCACACCAGTGGAAATATCCTCAAATGGCTTATGGGTCCATGATGAAAAAATTCACTTCTAGACCATACTATTAAAAGAATAATGAACTTCACTCTACTTGAAGTTAATGATAGATTCTTCTAGACTTAGGAATTGAATGCCATAGTTAAGGAAAACTCAAAGCCTATGTAATCTGTTTGGCCACACCGCCATCTCATGGCCATTTTTTAAAAAAAATGCTATAGTTACCATGCTGCTTTTAGCAAAGGGTGCTTCTCCCATTTGTGCATTGAAGAAAGGTATTTATAGTGTTAAGTTATTCTGTGCCATATGTAATAAAAACAGTGAAGATTATTTTATGTACTGATTTTAACCTATTCTAAAAGAGTTCAAGAATGAATGATTAATTGTAAATAAAGTATACTAAAAACTATAACAAGTTAATAGCTGTGTTTACTAAAAGGAATTTCCCAAAACCTTCCAGGCAATCAGGTGAGAGATTCAGACAGAGGACACCTGATGTTTGGAAAGTAATCCTGTGATTCTGGACCTTAGCCCTGTCACAGAGTTAGGGCCCATCTAGTCAGCTTTATGATTGAGCTTCCAGCTACCTACAGAAGAGAAATGTCCCATGTTTGAGCACTTGTTGATACAGCCCAGGAAAATATAGAAACACTGATGTACTCTGAAGCATGTACACAGGTATACATACTACCTATGCACAAACACACACTCCTCTACAGAAACCGTAGTTACACCAAGGAGATACAGAAGCGTTAAACAGGTTGGAAAGTTATCCTGATCCATCATTTCACCTTTAGGTGTAAGAAAAAAGCAGGGCCCCTTGGCACATGCCTATAATCCCAGCACTCAAGAGGCAGATGCAGGAGGACCAGGGATACCTAGGGAATTCAAGGTCACCAGAGCTGCATGATATCCTATCTCAAAAAAAATTTTAATTAGGGTCTGGAGAGACAGCTCAGTGGTTAAGAGCACTAGCTGCTCTGGAGAGGAGCTGGATTAGGTTCCCAGGACCCATATGGCAGCTAACAAACATTCTTAATTCCTGTTCCAGGGATCAAATGCCCTCTTCTGGCTTCCACAGGCACTGTATAACATGGACATGAACTGCACTCACATGCAGACAAAACACTCAAACACATAAAAACAAAAAAATAAAAATTTTTAATTAAAAATTTAAAAGCTTAGAAATAACTACAAATAGGCACAGAGTTTTTTTCCAGGTTGTTAACCCTCTGTATATTGATTACCTACCATACGCCAAGCATTAAGCTGACTGTTCTGAACATTTTATTTAAATGGACTCATCACAGCAATCCTCCAAGGTAGGACTATTCTCTTTTTGAAGAGGAAGAAACTGAGACTCATAGCAGTTAGTAACATGTCCAAAGCCACATGGCTAACAAGAAAAGTGGCAGGTTCAAGCCTGGGTCATCTGATTCCAACAGGTAAACTTTTCTCCCAACTTCATTCAGGGAAGAAGCACCTTTCAGAACCCGAAGATTCCAGTACCCATCTTCGCTCTACTCACTGGTATGAGCTTGGATCATCCTTTAACAACCTGGCATCTCTCTGCAGTGTCTACAAGAAACCTAGTAAAATCTCCACTGGCTGGCTGACAGAGTAGGCTACATCAGATCCTGGCTGTAATTCTGCTCGATAACCTGCAAAACACTATGCAAATGTTAGAAATATCTTGTTTATTGTACTGTCTGATTTTCTTTTCATTTTTGTGGTCCTAGGATTAAATCTAGGGTCTTTCACATCTTGTTTTGTGATTTTTAATCAGGACCATCTTTATGGCCATGGGTTTAGAACTGTCTATTGGTGTCCAGTGGGCTCATCCATGGGTGCAGCACTGAAAACAATGACTACTCCTCCCCCCAGAATCTGCCAGTAACTGATAATTCAGCAAGAGGGGCAGGGCCCTGTGAGCCCCTCCCCAGTGCATGACTGACTAATGCAGGCCCAGTCCTGTGCAGGCCGAGTGGACACAACCTCAGCTGCTGTGTAATCATGATTCCAATAGCTAACATGCTCAAAAGATAGCATTTCCCACCCCTTCACCCAATATCCTGGCTCTTACATTCTTTCCTTCCCCTGTTCTGAACCTTAGAGAGTATGGTATAAATGTCTTCTTTAGGACTGAACATTCAACCACTCAACCATCACTGCCAGCATCTAGAGCAGCCATGGGTCTCCACATCCATTGTTGATTACTACAAAGAGAAGCTACTCTGATTAAGACTGGGAATAGCATTTGTCTATGTTTATTTATAAACATAAATATTTAGAAAGTAATTTGGAGCCATGTCAGTTAGCTATACAAGAATAGTAAGTTCCCACAGAGGACCTAAGACCTCCTGCCATAGGTTTTGGACTGGGATTGCAATACCAGGCATAAATTCTCTTCTGTGGTCCATGTCTCAAATCCAAAGACGGGTTGGTTACCCCTTAACAGTTATACCACTATTGAACCAGTGGGTACATATTGTCTAGGTTGGCATTGTAGTTCATATGGTCCACAGCTGCTTCACACTTTTGATGCCTTCTCTCTCCCACACAAGTCTGCACAGCACCTTCTGGCACTATGAAAGCTAGCCAACAGAGAGGAAGCTTCTGGCTCAGTTCCAC